CTGGGGAGAAACGTGAGAGGGAATCATCACTGACTGCCTTATATTTTACCTCTCACTTCACAGGATTATTGTGAGATTAAATATAGGTGCTGAGCTGTAGAGATACAGTGCTGGTGGGGCACATATAACTACATAGGTAGATAGATTCTTACTATAATATTCTTGTAAATAACCTTAAATAAAACATTTATATATTAGCTCAAACTAAACCTGCATTTGCCCTCTTGAATTCTCTTTATTCATACCTAAGCATGACACATCCTTAAGATCATTTATTGCCACAGGGTTGGGTTTAGCCTTTACACTCCTAATGAGGCCAAACACAACTCCAAGAGACTGCATTAGGTCAGTGCAAACCTCAGATCCCCACACCATGAGAAACTGTTGTAAGCAAATTTTTAAGACTTACGATGGTTCTTCAGACACCACTGCTCCTTCCTCCAGCTCTTGAGCCTGCTTATACCATGGCAGCTTTGCTTCCACGGGAAGTTTCTCTACAGAACAAACAGAAGCATATGAAAATAGGAAGCATGCAGTAATGCTGCTACACATCTGCCAGGCTCCCATCCTCTCTTGCTGAGCATGCCTGTCATGCACGTGTGTCTGTATCCACATGGAATATGAGTACAAAGAAGAAAGAGAGAAAAAGGAGAGCAGGAGAGACAGAAAGAAACTTCTTTTTTACCTGGACTATACTGCTTGCAAGGTTAAATGTCTAAATAGTACACTGTTGAAGCTGGAAGGTCTATAGCATTCTACAGCCAGAAAGGCAAATTAAGTCACTTTTCAGACTATACAACTGGGCTGTAAAAGTAGGCACACTGGAATGCATTTTTTGGAGGGAGTTGTGTAAGTGTAACAGGCCTCCACTGACACTGCAAAGGCAAAATGCATAAAACCCACGTGTTTATTCTTAAATTTTAGAACTTCAGAAGACACATTAGGCTTGTTTTTGATATCACATAAAAACAGAGGAACTGTAATAAAATGGCCCAGATATACTTTTCAACTTTATCAGTTCATCAACTATGTGGATTTAAAAATATGAACTTGATACTTTTTCTGTCATTTCTGATGGAAAACAGTAAACCTGCTTTTCTTCCCTTCCAGGATGTGTTCTGCTGTGCTCTGGGGAATGCAGGGCCATGCTGCTTCATGAGCCAACTCCACTTTCTTGCAGTGTCAAAGTGGAGTATTTGAGTTGAAGGCGGTGGAGCTGTTTTAGCTCTACACGGGTATAAAGCAAGAGCAAATTTGGCACTATAATTCAAGAAAGAGCTCTACATTTCAACAAAATGTTTTGGGCTGCGATCAGGGGAAAAAACACAAAGAAAAGGGAGAAAAACTCGGACCGCTGAGGAGAACCAAGGCCAGACCTATTTGCCACTCACAAATCACCTAAAGCATTTCAGGTTTATGTAGTTCATGGATTTGTACTTGCCAATGGGAGCAGATTAATGTCATTCAGAACAGTCATGAGTTTTCTTTGATTGTTGTGCACAACAACAAACCTTTCACATATGCACATGAAATTTCCCATCTGTTAGTTGTCTTATAGAGGAAAAACAACTTACAGCTTGGTTTCACAGCTATTGCAACTTTAACCAAGCAAATTTCCTTGGGTAAAGTTATCAGCTGAGGAAAAAAGGGATGGTAATATAGTTCCTATTCTTCTCTCTTTTATAAATAGCTTGCCAAGCTCTTACTCTAACTTATTAATGTAATTTAAAGAAGACTATTTGCCAGCACAGCTTAGTTTGATCTATATTTTACCCCATTTGTTATCCAAAATATGTAGGAGATAATTCTATTTATATGTTCTGCAGCTTGTTTGATGGATTTTGGAAAGCCAGATCAATCTTTTGTGCTTTTTTTTGCTAGGATACAAGCACTTAAAAAGCAAAACTTTTATGTACGGTTGCCTGGTATGTGGCTTTTTAATAACTCTTTGTTTAGAGCTCTACTTAACTATAATCTAAAATTTATTAGAGGATTAGAAAGTTGATGTTTTACAGTGTGCTTTGCCCCAAAATAAAAACAAAAACAAACAAAAAAGCACTCGTAACATAAGTGAAGGCAGAATTTTTGCCTTTGGAGATTAAAGTGAAATCTCTCCTCTTATAAAGCAGTTTCAGTAAAAACACTTAAATCCCATATTATACAACAAGCTGTATTAGATTAATATACCCTCTCTGTTAAAACTGAAAATCATTACTTAATCCAGGGATATCCAGGTGTTTTTCCCATTATTGGTGTAAGAGAAAGTGCATCAGTGCTTGAACAAAGTATAATGAAATATATTGCATGAACTATTTGCTTTCTATTGTTGTTTAGCAGAGTATACTCAAAGATGGAATTCCTCAGAAGGAATTTTTTACATTGGTGCTTTAGTCATCTAGCAATATTGGTTTTCTGCTTTAAACTAATCCACCAAAGGAAAAAGCAGACTAAGATTAAAAACGTTTAATAGAGGAGAGGTACTTTGCTACCCCTCCTGCTATAAATTTCTGGTTCTAGAGTTGTGAAATAAAAAGGACAAACATCTAACACATAAATAGAATAATTTAGATTAGAAGAGACCTCTGGATATCATTTGGTCCAACCCTCTCCTAAAAAGCACCATTCAGCCTTCAGGTACAGGACTCTTCCATCACCATATGAAGGGAGAACTGTGAGAGCATTGCAGAACTGAGGAGTAAAATTAAACCCAAGCAACAGAGTACGCTTTGAGTAGGACTTTGCATAACACTGGAAAAAATGGAAGAAAGAAGTAACTCCTTACAATGAAAAATTAATCATGTATGTACTGCAAAAGGCAGCACAAGAGTTTATCCAAGGTAAAGATGCAAGGGTGGACTTCTGGGAAGCAATTTACTTTGTTCCAAAGCAAATCCCATTGTGGAGGAGACTTCTTAACAGCTGCAGGCAAACACAGCCTTGCTGGCTGGTCTTTCACCCTTCCCAGGTTCCCTAGGCAGAAGTCAGTTGTGAGTGCTTTGCAACATCTGATTTTTGTTGTCTTACTGCATTTTGGTTACACTGTATCCTGCAGGCAGACAGGATCTTGCTTTACCTGTTCTGTGAGTACCATAAACAGTTAAAGTCCCATAAAAGCAGCTGACTAGTGGAGTTCAAACCCCTGAATCCCTGTTTGAGTCTCAGAGTCATGCTAACACAGTCACAGGGACTTTTTTCTTCATCTTGGAAGGTGGACAGGGTGAGTTCACGTTAGCCAGCAAAAATACAGTTGAAACATCTTCACTGCTCCCCAGAGGCCCTGTGTTTAGGTTTTGTCACTTCAGTGGCTGGCAGACACAGAGAATTCTCATGATCTGGATAAGCTGGCATCTTGAAGCTTGGCAAGTGTGTCCAACATAGGCCACTAAGTACAGAAATTAAAATACAAAATTTCACCGTTCCATCTTGGGTCAGCATGAGGTCACGGGTCACTTATTTCACAGGGCTTCATAGTAAGTGCTGTTAGTACATAGCAGGATAGCAATTACTTTTTTTGAAGAAATTGAACTTTTATGGTGAGGTTTAAGTCTCCAGTTTATGAAAACTGGAAGTATTTAAAAGACATGTAGGTAAGGTACTGAGGGAGGTGGTTTTAATGGTGGGGTTGGTAGTGGTAGGTTAGTGGTTGGACTCGATGATCCTAAAGGTCTTCTGCAATCAAAACAATTCTGTAATTCTATGTTATTAAAATCACCTCTATTGCTGTAGCCCAGAAGTTTCCATAAATTAGTCAGCATAAAGATGTGGAAGTTGTATTGATAGACCTGTACACATGCATGAACACATGCACATTGATATGCCTGTGGAAATAGTCTAATACATGTGCCTGCTGCACTTGGCTACTGCCCCAATCCAGTCCTCAGGATATTTTCTAGCATTCCCACCCCCCAGGAACCTCCAAACAGCTGCAGAAATATTTTTTACTTCTCTCAACACAATTTAACCCAGTATTTCTGTCTGAGGCTCAAGTCAGGAAATTGCTCACAAATTGTGTAGGAGTACTCCTTGCTATAAGATGTTTCAAGTCTAACAGTCTTCCAAATTTTGCAGCCTTGCAACTAAGAATAACTTCATGCTGGGATATGCAATGCTTGCTTCTGACCTATTTCAAACTCCAAGTTATGAACAGGCACTTTAAAATTATAGCTACATTCATCTACCGTAAGTGTTATTCATATATTTAATGTCTTTTAAAATAAAGGTCAAATTTAGCTCAGACACAATCAGTGAGGTCAAACCTGGTTTCACTGTGGTCAAATTTACATTTATATTGCTTGATCTGCTACGCCAAATTAAGAGAGAACACCCAAGAGCTTCTAAGAAAGAGGAAGGGGACAGCATTCACTCCAGCTTGCTAGGAGGGATAGGAATGGCAGGCCTTAAAGATACAAATTCACAAATCTGTGTAGGTGGAAACACTGCTACCAGCAACAAACAACTGCTCAACACCGGTGAGCTCTGAAAAATTTATGAGAATCATTCTGGCTCATTACCTTTGGGTTTGTAGCAAGGAATGGGTACAAGGCATTCTTCTTTTATGTGTGGCTTTGTTTTAGGACTACAGCCTCCTGTATGCATCCCCCTGTGATCGATGCAAAGAACCACGCGGTATCTGAGTCCCTGTCCACAGGTCACAGTGCACTGGGGAAAAGAAAAGACAAAAACACAAAGTGCATGTGATAGATCACAGGAGTGATAAAAGGGGAATAGGAACTAGAAGTGTGTGTATATCAAAGAGCAAACCATGATGCAGAAACACCCAACCCTGAACAGAAGTTATTTATAGTAATTGGTAGTTATGGGTAATGTATAAAATTGACAGATTTTTTTGCCTTTTTGCTCTGCGCGTTTACTTTGTTTGGACATTTTGTTGTTGTATGTCTCTTGCAGTGCCACTCTCTCAGTGTTGGCTGCTTGGCTCGTGGCCATCTATGCCATATTGGGTATGCTCAGCAACGCCCTGTCAGTTTCATCTGGAGCCACTCTGCTTTGCTTGGACAAAGTACTGGGGTTTACGGGTTAACAAGGGTGGCACTCAGCTACATGGCACAAACAGAATGGGAAATTATTTAAGCTTTCTTTCCTCAGACAAAACTAGGGTGGTGAGAAACTGCACTCAAGATTAGGTCTTTATGTAGAAATAAAAGTACTTTTCTACTTTTGTAGAAAGGCATTTCAAAGACAGCTAGTTTTGTACAGAAGGAAAGGTGAATCAGAAACAGAAAACTACAAGCAACAAAGAGCAGGGTAATTCATGGCTTTATGTATATCTGGCAATTTCTCAGCAATATCCGATTTACGGCTGAAAGTTGTAATAAAGATACACAACTACATCCTTCCTGGTTTTGGTTTGTGCATTTCTTTTTTGTTCACAGATTATTATTAGCAGAAGTTCACTTATTAACATTACAGATCTGGTTTATTTTTCCATCATTCTCCTTAATCGTGTTATGCTTATTAATAAATTACTCCTGAGTATTTTCTTTGTGGTTAGACAAATAGCATAACTTAAAACAGAGGAAAGAAAGTAGTGAATATTCCTACTCCCACAAGCTCATTAAACTATAATTTAAGATATATCCCTGGTGTGGTAAATAAAAACCCAACAAAGTTAAGCTGATTACCGGAGACCATTCCTGAGCAAGCCATTTTGGGCAGTCAAATATATTGCAAGGCTGGACAACAGGCATCTTTAGAGTATACATGCATTTCCATTCTTCCACAGGGCTGATATGCCCCTGAATGTCTTCTTCCACACATGAGATGCTGCGGCTTTGAATGCCCCCTCCACATGATGAGGAACAGGCAGTCCAGGGTGTACTTTCCCATCTGGGAAAAAAACAAAAACAAAACAAACAAAACAGAGAGGCCTCAGGAAAAGGAACCCCTGCTGCCCCTACCCTTACATGCACTCCCTAAATGCATAAACTGCTATCTGTCTTTTGCTTAATGTCAGTAAAAATTAATCATATCTATTTTCTTAAATCACCATAACAACCAAGTACTCTCCTGGCTGCTGTCTCTAAATCACAGATTAGCAATATGTGACTCCTCTCTCCCACTGACCGGGTAACAAGTACCACCACAAAAACTCTAAATACTTTAAACTTAATTCCTTTTATTTGATTGCTGGGATTATTGTATTTTCACAATCTGTCATGTTCTGAGGAATCTTTGCCACCAATCACTGGAAGCCCAGTCTGCTCTGAAGCTGATGTTCTTTTTTGCAAGCACATACAAGGAAACAGCAGTTTTCTTTCCAGGGAAACAATAGAGTTGAGGTAAAAAAAAATAAAATAGAAGATGTGAGAAAACTATCGGAAAGAAGACGTGACTATACTGATAAGCTACATGGCCTCTGATGGATAAACCATTTGGGCTTTTTTTCCTTACGTTTGAGGCAGTGAGAGGGACTGAGAAAACAGCTTTCCTCTGCAGATGGTATTGAGTGTGATGACAAATCCACAGAACAATGTATATATTCTGGAAGTTAAATATGCAAACTTATGAGAACAGTCCTTTTACAGTGATGCATGCATAAAAAAGTATGTACTGCTTTATACATATATATATCTGTCCACATAAAATAGTCTGGTATTTTCTCTCATATATTCACGTCATTGTCACAAAGAGGATCTGGAGCCGTTGTCATAATCCAGTGTGGACATTCCTGTGTAATCCTGTGCATGTCTGATGGTATAAAATTGTGCATGTTTATCTACCTGGGAATATTTCACAAAATCCCTTTTTTTTTTTTTTTCCAAAAGGCAAATGTCTTTTTTATACAGCCATTAGAAATAGTGTTTGAAACAATGGGTTTGTTCAGAAGTTTTCATTTTTTTGACTTAAAAATTAATATACTTTTTTTTTTTCCAAAAAGCAGCACTTGTTTCCTCTTTCAGGCAAGAAAGCAAAAAAAATGAAAGGTGAGGTTTTTTTCCTCCCAATTCCCTAACACAAAGGAATTATTCTTATTAAGTAACAATCACAAGATTACCAAGATTGGTAAGCAGTGTGAGAAATGCTTGTCTTTCTCCCTGATTTTTCATCATATCGGCTTTTTTCTCATCAGCTCCAGTACATGTAAATGCTACCCATACTTGGCTATTGCCTGAAAGTGCCATAAAACCCAACGTGAAATGGCTTATGTTAATAGCTCTTTATGAATAGGGAAACCACTGATTAATCTTATGACATCACTAAGAAGTGGTGAAACTGTTTACATCATGCCATAGCCATCACCATAATATGTTCAGCGTAAGCCACATATGTCATGAACGGGTAATTTTAGCAATACTTTAGCAATGCGGCTCTGCTGGGCAAGCTTTTTGTCATACAGCTAAGTTTTCTTGCTACCACAAATCTAAATGAAAAGGCCTCAAATTGGAACTCATGAACAGCAGAAACTGCAGCAACCAGCCTGAGCCAGCTTTTCTCAGGCACAATATAGGATGGAACCAGGGAATTCCCTGGAGTCTTTGGGGTAAGTTTGCAGATGCCTTAAGCAATCTTAGCAATACTAAGCAGCTTAAATCTAGGCAAGCAGTTTGGTCCTCAGGTTTTGTATGAGTGTAAGAAAGGAAGGTGAAGTTTCTCAGTTGCTCTTAAAGCAGCTTTCACAGCTCCTTTTGAGATACAAAGGGTGAAACAATGGTCGAGAATTTGTGAAAGGAATTGATGGTGAATTAAAAGCAAGCACCACTTACACTAGACTGTATCTTTCTCTCTTCATGAATACAATCAAGGCTGAGGGTTTGCAGCAGGAGGATCTTGCAAAGATGCCTTCCCAAATTTGTTGTCCACTTCTCCATGTTTGTTGCTTTTCCCTGGTATTAGGTGCCAGTCTCAGACAGGTAATGCAACCAAGGCTTATCTGGCTTGACTTTTTTTTTTTTTTTCTTTTTTTTGGTGGGTTTTGTTTGTTTGATTGATTGGTTGGTTGGTTGTGTTTTATTTATTTTTTGCCTAAACTCTGCAGGTTCAGAGGAAAGACATTTTTTATCCCCCTGACTTGGCCCTGCCTCATGCCAACCTCATGGTCTGCTCAGTTTATGCTGCCCCTGAGGTTTGGAGAAGAGACATGTGACTGCATCTTCCCTCTTGGGGGGAGTGAGGAAGACCTGATCCCTGTTCATGGGTTTGTCAGAACACACTTGGGAGTGGGAGAGAGGAAAAAAAGGGGAAGTGAAACAACAGAGGGAAAAATGTAAGGAGATGTCCCAGCCAGCAGTTGCAGTCTGAGCAATCGATGGCAGGGGTTCAGGGGGAATAGTGTGGCTGGGAGAGTGGATGTAAAAACGACTATTACAGGGTGAGTCCATAATCCAGAACATCTTGAGAAACAGACTCAGCCTTTTGATCATTTTCAGGGAGTTGGTTTTTTTTTTTTTGGTTTTTTTTTTTTGTTTTGTTTTGTTTTGTTTTGTTTTTTTGTATTTTTTTTGTTTGTTTTTTTCTTGCAGTGTTACTGAATGCCTCAGGGCGTTTTGATCCTTTGTTTTGGATTTTCTTCAGCAGTAAAAAAACCCTCTGAGTAGCTGCCAGCTCAGGATCTCAGGATGCATTTTCCTTAAATACAGTTGCTCCACTGTTAAGTACTGCTGAATCATCCTCTGATATAAAATTGTTCGCCATTTTCTGTCGATATATGTACCTTTTGTAAACAATTGAAATAAAATCTGTTTTATTTAAAGCTAAAGTGTTAAGCCCTGTATTCATACTCTCTAACTTCTGTGTTCTTTACTAACCGGGGCTTGTTTTGTTAGGTTGGGAGGTAAGTATCTGGAGTGTTGGTTTTTTTTTTTCCCTTAATAAAGAACAGAGAAAAATATTTTCCAGTAAAAAAGGAATTAGATGTAGGGATATATTTTATAAGTGTATCTCACAAATATTTGGTGATAATGACCGTGTTTACATAACCATAAGCACTCAGCTAGGAAGACAAAAGCCAAATGACACAAATGATTGATAGAGGGTGTCAACATGAATGGCAACCACAATGCTTGTCAAGTTAGCCACTGTCCTTGTCTTCTCACTCACAGTTTAGGTTGGGTGCATGGTTTGGCTGGGGACTGTTGAACATGAATGCACTGTGCTTGGACACTGCTGCTGAAAGTTCTCTGCATTAAACTTCACCGTGGTTTGATGAAGATTGTTTCCTCACCAGAATGAGGCTAACAAGTTGCCTAGAGAGTTTTTTTTCTGTGATTTCAAACACCATGACACAATAAATTAATGAAGAAGGAAACACAGCACAATAGTATTGCATGTATAGGCAGTATTTCAAAACAAAAAGGATATTATCCTTCAGCTGCTAAACATTTTTATCAGCACCAGTTTATTTTCTGCTTTAAGAATAATTACTCAAGTGATTATTTTCATGAGAATCTCAAGTCTTGAATTAAAGACCTTTTAATTGAGAGTAAATAAATAACAAAAATCAAGCCTTAATCCTATTTCTGATCCTGATCTCAGATTTCTTAGAAAAGCCAAAGGATTAATGCCCCTGGGGAAGGCATTAGCACGAGTTTGCAGGATCAGAGCATAACACTAGTACTGTTTAAACCCAAAATCTCACTGTTTATAAGCAGGCAAGAAGCAGCACCACTGGACAGAGAGGGACTCATTACAATGGGACATATAGTTCTGTTCAGAGATGACTGAAGGGAAGGAAAAAGAAAAGGTGCGAGAGAAGAGGGGAGGTGGGGACGAAGGGTGGCGAAAGAGAGACAGAAAAGGGTTACACACTTAATAAATCTGTATTGCTGCTTCACCTAGAATACTGTTTCAGTTCTGCATCAATGGAGTTTATAACAACAGAGTTTATAATAACAGATTAGCAATTGAGCATCTCCAGGTTAATCTGCAGAAATTCAGAGCATGAGAAAAGCAGCATCTGTTAACTCAGTTTGATAGCAAAGCAGAACTGCAGAGAAGAGAAGAAAAGAAGTAAATGTACTTGCTAATCCTATAGCATCTGGTTAAATGTTTTACATACCGAGGAAGGGGATGGTAGAGGTCATAGGGCATGATCTGCTTGTATCCATCACTGTTAGGAACAATAATGCCAACCCTCTGAGTAGAAGGTACACATAATAAAATAAACACTAAATGATTACATTATACAAGTTTGGTTTTTTTTTTTACACAATATTACAAAAATCCCTAAACAAACAAGATATTCAACCTAAGTTGCTCTCACAATTAAAAAAATACTTATGCTCCCATCCTACTGTTTCTGAGTCATTCAAAGAATTAACAACTGATTACTACTTTATTCTTGTGAATAAATTACTGTTTGACTAAGAAGCAATCCGTTACCCCATGTCATCCAAATTAGTTGCCCAAATATTATTAAAAATGACATAGTTACTATCTGCCATTAAAAAAAAAATAAATTACAGTTAACATTTCCTTGGAACTCAGATCCAAAGTCACTGAAGAAAGCAGGGGGATTTATTTCTGCTTCAGAGAGCTCTAGATCAAACCCCTTTTTAAAAACTATTACATGGCTGTTTCTGCCCTTCAGATAAAACATCTGCTTTCAAAGTGGTCAGAATCAGAAACTCAGGAAAACCCAGTGCAAGAATTCAATTCTGCAGTTGTTGTCTTTCCATCTTAAATCAGCCCAATTTCATTTGTTTTCAGAACCTATGTCTTTATTTGAAGAAAGAAAGAGCTGGAGAGAAGAGTAAGACATCAGGTTGTTTTTTTCTTTGTTTAGTTGGTTGACTTTTTTTCTGTAATGTTATTGGTATAATATCTAAATGATAGAGCATCTAAAGGTTATAGAAGGCAATAGTGTACTGTTCAAAATTAGTAATTATCTGAATGATTAGCATGCCAGTTATGTCTGAGATGGATGTCACTTGACTTGTTGGCAACTGCAAGGTCGCATTGTATTGCACTGAATTGCTAGCCTGGAATTTCATCTTTTATTTTTATCGATTCTGACTCAGAATTTGACTGATTCTGATTCTACCCATGTTGTCTCTCAGTTATCTGGTGTATCTATTAACGTCAAACAGAGGATCCTAGAGCACCTAATCTATATGCTTCATCAAAGCCACTGTCAAACAAGGGACTTGAATGGGATAGGTGGGTAGAACCATCAAAAAGTGAATGCCAATTGCATTAAAATAAAAAAAAAGTCTCCCTAACTAAATTATGGAGAGAGGAATCTGACTGAAAATAATGAAGATGTGTTTCAAGAGTCTTATACAGATGAGAGGTGCTAGGTATGCTGCTACAGATTTCTGCAAGGGGGAATGAGCAAAGGAGGGGGAAGGGACAAAGTATTCTCCATTCTCAACACAGTTCACTGAAAAAAGCTGTGAGCATTCAAAGAAGCCTTGTCAAGCTAAGGCTAAAGGGGTCTCTTCTCCTTTCAGTCAACAGGGTTTTCATGTGCATAACTTGTCCACGGCAGAAGAATGAAACCCTTTGTGTTTTCACAGCGAGGAGTCAGCGCCAGGTCAGCATGCTGGAATTTTGGGGCTAAAGCATGGACAGACGCTGGAGCCCTGGCAGTGCGTGATGGGGACTAGACAGCTCCTTCTAAGATTAGCAGCCTCTGCAATCACAGAAGCTCTCTGCATCAGTGTGTTTATTTGCATCTTCAGAGAGCTGCCTGTCTTCACAAAAAAACTAAAAATCTTGGAGAGGCAGTTCTGGCACTGGGAAACTCTGGAAAAGACACATGGGTCATAGACAGTATGGCGAATGAATGAACAAGCCTTTTGAGATTGAACTTGACGGGTAAATGCCTGGGGAAGTTTGAGGAATTGTGTACTAGTATAAGAAGATGGAAGGGGATTTTTTTTCTTGAGGTATTATTGCTCATACTTTTAGGAAGCTCTGCAGTTTTCCTGACTTTTCTATCACTTTTGCTGAAGTTCCACTCTGAAGCCTTTAGCACTTTCCAGCTCATCAAGCTTGCTGAGAAGCAGTTTGAAAAAACCAATTAATATACCAATTCCAGAAAATAAGTAATTGTAACAGCATCTGCTACCTAAGAAAGAAACAGATTTCAAAACATTTCTCACTCATTGCAGTAAGAAGTATTTTCTTTCTAATAAACGGGATCACTTCTGTGAAACCTGTACTTTTTGACTGGACAAAATGGTTTCAATTCCATGAATCTATCACACCCTTATAAAAGGCAGAAGGTATCTAGTTTATGGGCTTTGTTCACTCTACGTTTCTCAGACAATGTAAAGGAGATCATGTGTTAAGTGAAGAGAACAAATAACAATGCCTCTACTACATTGAGATTCCTGACTGGTGTGGGAGTAGCTAACAGGACTCATTCAAACAATAGCTAGAGCAAACCTGCTTTAGCAAGAGCAGAGCACAAAGCAAATTATTTTGAAAAGCTGTTGTGTCTCATATGTCTGAAATCTCCTGGACCTTTCAGACCAACATGTTGTGTCATATACTCTGCAGATTGTTTTATTTTCCTCCTGAGTGCTGGCAGCTTCAGCACAGTTGCTCCTCCAAGGCATATGTCCAACTGCCAAGGAAGCTGCCGATGCCAGAGGTGGGTGTGCTGCACCCAGGTCTGCCATCTGTGCACATGTTTGGCTTTCCCCTGGAATGGATGCCCACAGCTTGAATGTCTTACTTGTCATTGTCTTCCCTGGTAGCTATTTTTCCTCTTTAAGCTACCCCTCCTTAAGTTACACCTCTTTCCTGATGGGGACCTGCACAGCTAAGATTTAAGCCTTCATTGAAATTTGCCACACTTAAGAATAAATGATCTGCATGGCAGGGACTATGCCATAGAATCATAGAATTTTTGGTTTGGAAGGGACCTCCAGAGGTCACCTAGTCCAACCACCCTGCTATAAGCAGGGACATCACCAACTAGATCAAGCTACTTAGAGCCTCATCAACCCTGACTTTGAATGTCTCCAGGAATGGGGCCTCCACCACCTCTCTGGGCAACCTATTCCAGTGGTCTATCACCCTCATAGTAAAGAACTTTTTCCTAATGTCTGACCTAAATCTACCCTTTTCTAGCTTAAAGCCATTACCCCTCGTCCTGTCACTACAAACCTTTGTGAATAGTCCCTCCTCTGCTTCCTTGTAGACCCCTTTCAGGTACTGGAAGGTCGCTATAAGGTCCCCTTGGAGCCTCCTCTTCTCCAAGCTGAGCAATCCCAACTCCCTCAGCCTGTCCTCACAGCAGAGCTGCTTCAGCCCTCTGATCATTTTTGTGGCTCTCCCCTGAACATGCTCCAGCAGCTCCACGTCCTTCTTGTGCTGGGGGCTCCAGAGCTGGACACAGTACTCCAGGTGAGGTCTCACCATGGCAGAGTAGAGGGGCAGGATCACCTCTCTCCACAAAAAAGAAGGCCACGCTTCTTTTGATGCAGCCCAGGATTCAATTGGCCTTCTGGGCTGCCGCTGCACATTGGTGGCTTATGTGCCCCCAAGTCTTTTTCGAAAGACTAGTACCCCCCAAGTCTTTTTCCAAAGGACTGCTCTCTAGCATGTCCTCTCCCAACCTGTACTGGTAATGCTGGTTGTCCCAGCCCAGGTGCAGGACCCTGCACTTGGCCTTGTTGAACCTCCTAAGGTTTACCAGAGCCCACCTCTCCAGCCTGTCCAAGTCCCTCTGGATGGCCTCCTGTCCCTCTGGCATGTCAACTGCACCGCCCAGCTTAGTATCATCACCAAACCTGCTGAAGGTGCACTCGGTGCCACTGTCTGTGTCATTGATGAAGGTATTAAACAACACCAACCTCAGTATGGACCCTTGAGGGACACCGCTTGTCACCTTTGCCCATCTGGACATCGAGCCATTGACCACTACTCTCTCGATGTGGCCGTCCAGCCGGTTTCTTATCCACCGAGCAGTCCACACATCAAACCCATATCTCTCCAACTTAGAAAGGAGGATGTTATGGGGAACAGTGTCAAAGGCCTTAGCAAATTCAGAATACATGACATCCACAGCTCTTCCCTTGTTCACTAATGTAGTTGCTTGATTATAGAAAGCCACCAGACTGATCAGGCAGGACTTGCCCCTGGTAAAGCCATGCTGACTCTCTTGAATCACCTCCCTGTCCTCCATGTGCCTTAGCATTTCTTCTAGGTGGATCTGTTCCATGATCTTCCCAGGCACAGGAAGATCATTTAAGTAATTGTCATCTAAACAATGGTCCGAACTACATCTGAAGAAATTAATAGTGATCAGCAAATAATAATAAAAGTGGCTTAAAGTGGCTGTGGAGAGTTAATTCATTAAGTGAAAGGAGATGAAAGATCTGAAAAAGTTCATCACAAAAGTCAAGAGTGTAGCAACCAAGCCAGAACCTCCCTGAGAACCATGATTATCACAGGACAGACAACAGGCTTGTGAAATATTCCCCAGTGTAACATTAAAAGTCCTGTCACTAAGTTGGTGTGTGATACGGCATCCTTCTCTTACAGCACTCTGTGAAGATGTCACAGGGTGACTCTGTGACCTTGGGCTACAGAAACACTTTCTATCCCTAGAAACAGGTATCAAGGCCCTTGGAGGGTATCTGTTAATATTTCCTATGTGTTACTCTGTTACAAACTATCCCTATTTCTATTCAGAGCTCCAGCTGATGACATCTCCAAGTAACACTGCAGGTCCAGGCAACACTGGCTTTTGAATGCCTGTATTTGCAGAGAGCAGGTATCATAATTCTCAGTTATGCTATCATTGTGAGTTATATCTCTGGCTTCTGGAGCACCATGCTTAACTCTGAGATATAGATAGCATCTTATCATATTACACTCTATTAGTGTAGAACTTGAAGAACTACCATGTATTTTCTATTTTTATACTCTTTCATATGGTCTTAGTTCTTTATGAATTGGTAAAAGCCAACGTCCCCTATCTAAATTATTTTAACTGGAATGTCAGTGGACGCTTGAATAAACTCCTTGAAAATGCAAAGGACTGCCAAGAAAGCTGTCCTTTTGTGTCAACATCCAAAAAACCCTCACACTTTAGGCAGCATGTCTGTTCAGCACAACAATATGTCACCTTTATAATAAATGACTTTTTCATGA